GCAGTAGGAAACTACCTGCCTGCTAAAACTGTGGTCATAGGCTTCCAGAGTATCACGTTCTTTCCCAGACTTGATGGCAAGCAGGAACTTCTCTGGAGTTAATCAGATCTATTGCCAACTCAGCGATCCCTGACACTAGCACCTCAGGCACCCCTCCTACCTAGCCGATAAAGATGGCACCTGAGCCAGGCGCGGTGGCTCATGCCTGTAATCCTAGCACTTTGGGAGGCCGAGGAGGGCAGATCATTTGAGGTCAGGAGTTCGAAACCAGCCTGGCCAACATGGTGAAACTCTCTCTCTACTAAAAATACAAAAAATTAGCTGGGCGTGGGGGTGCGTGCCTGTAATCCCAGCTACTCAAGAGACTGAGGCAGGAGAATCGCTTGAACTCAGGAGGCGAAGGTTGCAGTGAGCTGAGATTGTGCCACTGCACTCCAGCCTGGGCAACAGAGAGTAACTCCTGTCTCAAAAGACAAACAAACAACAACAAAATGGCACCTAGGCTGAACGGAAAACACTTCCCAATTCCAGAGCCCCAAAGGTCTCTTTCTTCCTCTCCACTCATTCACAAATAAAAGGGTGCTAATTTACTATAAACACCACATGGCTTGGGTACCCTGAGTGTAAAAATACTTTTATCTTTTTTTATCAACCAGAAGAAGAAGTCACTACTTTAAAGACCCAGCAAACACTGGAGCTCTTCAAAAGATGCCATAGTCAATGATCAGATTATATAAGGGTTGTGTATCTTATTTAAACTCCTCCTCATTCACACCTTGATACTACCAGTCATCAACTCAATGCAAGCTTTCCCCCACACAACCTCCAGCCCAACAGGAGGATCTAGGGAAAGCTCAGGTTCACCTACCATCAAACACCTTTTAGTAATGTGGCACCTGGACTTGAATTCCAGCCCTACCTCTCACTGGCTGTGTGATACTAGGCAAGTTACTTAGCCAGCTAAGCTTTAGTTTCCTCATCCAAAAATGAGACGATACATGTAAAGTACTTAGCAGCATGCCTAGCCCATACAAATAGTTAAAAAATAACTCTGGGCCGGGCGCGGTGGCTCAAGCCTGTAATCCCAGCACTTTGGGAGGCCGAGACGGGCGGATCACGAGGTCAGGAGATCGAGACCATCCTGGCTAACACGGTGAAACCCCGTCTCTACTGAAAAAATACAAAAAAAAAAAACAAAAAAAAAACTAGCCGGGCGAGGTGGCGGGTGCCTGTAGTCCCAGCTACTCGGGAGGCTGAGGCAGGAGAATGGCGTGAACCCGGGAGGCGGAGCTTGCAGTGAGCCGGGATCGCGCCACTGCACTCCAGCCTGGGCGACAGAGCGAGACTCCGTCTCAAAAAAAAAAAAAAAAAAAAAAAAAAAACTCTGATATATACCTGATCTCATCACTTCCTCAGGTATATACTTCAGAACCTCAAGCATGCCTGCCTTTATAAATAAATAAATTACATATTCTCAAGCCAAATATAAATGTTTAGGATTATCTCTGCATTTAAGGCTCACATTTAGCAAAGATTTATGATAGATGTCCACTCATATTTATGACAGATGTCCTCCATTTAACCAATTCTTTTCAACGTCATTTGTATAATTATTTAATCCCTACTCATCAAAAAAACACACTGCAACCAACTGAACCTATCTCCCATTGTCCATCACCCATACCTCGCAACTGCAGGCCCCTTACTCACTCTGCCCTTGGCACCTCAACTGTTCTCCGTGTCCTTGCTGTCTGTCCATCTTCCCAAGTGTCACCCATCCTCTGAAAAGCCCTTTCCTTCAACTCCATCTCCACTTCATCTCTTTACTCACTCTGCCCTCGGCACTTCAACTGTTCTCCATGTCCTTGCTGTCTGTCCATCTTTCCAAATCTCACCCATCCTCTGAAAAGCCCTTTCCTTCAACTCCATCTCCACTTCATCTCTGCTTCTCTAACTCTTATTGCACCCTTTCAGCCATTACATACAACATAGGCTGGGAGCAGTGGCTTGCATCTATAATCTCAGCACTTTGGGAGGTCAAGGTAAGAGGATCGCTTGAGCCCAAGAGTTCAAGACCAGCCTGGGCAACATAGGGAGATCCCATCTCTACAAAAAAAATTAAAAATTAGCCAACTGTAGTGCCATAAGCCTGTAGTCCCAGCTACCTGGGAGGCTGAGATGGGAGGATCGCTTGAGCCCAGGAAGTCAAGGCTGCAGTGAGCTGTGATTGTGCCACTGCACTCCAGTCTGGGTGGCAGAGTGAGACTCTATCTCAAAAAAACCACACACACACACACACACACACACACACACACACACACACAAACCCCAAAACACAGATTATACATTTGGACTACGTTGTTCTCTACTGACCAAACTCATACTTCATTTTGACTGAATTGCTCTCTAATTGCTTTGTGCATGTTTCATATCCCCTACTGTACTGCGGGCTCCTAGTGGGTAGGGATCCTTTTATTCCTCAAGTCTCCTAATGTACGATGTACACTGCTCTGAACAGTGCCCAGATGTATGAATATTTACTGATGACTACCTCCTACACCCTATTCTATTCCTAAGGAGCCCTAAGAGCTAGAGTGGAGCTGACTCAACTTTAGCCAGAAATGCCTTCAGAGAACCTGCTCGATGCTTCATATAAATGCTTTCTAGGATTCTGCTTAGATTAAGAAAAAAAGGAGACTCCAATTTCTCTTTGGCATCTAAGTTTCACATTTTCAATGCATTATAGTCAATAGTCTTTTTGGATATTATCTCTAATGGGAAGTTCTTCTCTACAGTTCTTGCAAATGATACTTCTAAATGATCCTACAAAGTCCAGGAAAAATCTAGATAACATATTAATACCAGGAGTTCATCAACTTCAAGAAATAAGTCAATAACCTCACCTTAGTCCAGTCCTTCCAAAAGAAGCAACCCCTGGTAGGACCTCAATTAACGCTGGCAGAAAACACCAGCCCAACATTCCCAACCTTCTGTGATGACTGTGTGCAACCATCACAGAGGTGGTTAAAAAGCATCAGTCCCTAAAGAGGAAAACAATTAATGGTCTCTCAATTCAGGAAGACAAGTGCAGTGCCCTGGCCAGGAACAGCACAGCTCTCTCCTAAAACTGCAGTGATGGCCAAGCCAGAAAGCTCGTAGTTGGGTGGGGCAGCTTCCATTAGAGAAAGCACAGGAGCAATTGGTTTGTTTTGCCTCAATCAACGTTAGTCTTCCCATTAAACCCAACAGACTCAAGTTCTCATTCTAACAAAGCATGCTTAGCCCAGGGCTGGCCCATTTACCACTCAAAACAGTCACAGACTCTGGAGGGTTAAATTCAAGAAAAAATACTAGAGAAATAGGAGCTTAGAAGAAAATATTTTATTTATTAGAGCGTTAAGACGTGAAACGTCTTTCCTCAAATACAGGCAATTTACTCTCTTGCCAATTTACTTCTCTTATACCCTATACAATTAACACTAATCCACAAAATCCTTTGTAATGACCACCCAATCAACCGATAAATCAATCCTTCATTATGTTATTACTACTGAAAGAAGTCTTTCCTATGAGAGCATGTGAAAGAGGACTCACATCACCTAGTTTTCTTAATTTGTCTCTTGATCTAGACCACATTTAAACTACTGGTCAGGCCAGGCATGGTGGCTCACACCTGTAATCCCAGCATTTTGGGAGGCCAAGGTGGGTGGATCACCTGAGGTCAGGAGTTACAGACCAGCATGACCAACGTGGTGAAACCCCATCTCTACTAACAATACAAAATTAGCTGGGCGTGGTGGCACATGCCTGTAGTCCCAGCACTTTGGAAGGCTGAGGCGGGAGGATCACTTGAGGTCAGGAGCTCGAGACCAGCCTAACCAACATAGTGAAACCCTGTCTCTACTAAAAATACAAAAATTAGCCAGCCATGGTGGTGGGTGCCTGTAATCCCAGCTACTTGGGAGGCTGAGGTAGGAGAATCTCTTGAACCCGGGAGGCGGAGGTTGCAGTGAGCCAAGATTACGTCACTGCACTCCAGCCTCGGTGACAGAGCAAGACCCCATCTTGGAAAAAATAAAAAATAAAAATAAAAATAAAATAAAACTACCGGTCAGAAAAATATCATTCTTAAAACATAGTCACTTGCCCCTCAAATAAACATAAACTTTATTTTTAAAATTTAAGGTGAATGCCAACATGAATTGAAGCCAGGACAGACATAACAGTTTATGAGGTAATATGGGTAGGATGCTAGGCTTAATATGCAGCATTATTATTCAGAGAAGAATACACAGGAATGCTCACAGGACTCCACCACATGAACCACCTACAACAATGAACTCCCAGCATCAGGGCTTTATTCAACCAACCAAAATCAACAACCAGGAACCATCATCACCTTAGCAAACTATGGAAGACACTAATCAACTGGCATAGAAGAAAACAGATCAAGAAATCAAACACCTAGAAGAGTACCTCACAACAATCAGAATATTTAAAATCACAGTTAACTCTACAAACAATTCTCTCACTTATTCACCATATTTGAAAAGTCAAAATATCACTGGGGCCTCTCTGGATTGTGGATAAGAAGTCGATGGGCCATAAAAGACTGAAAAGACATCAACAAGAAGACATGCAAACAGGGTAAATAAAGCAAAGCCCAACAACAATATTTAGAATAAATAATTGAGCAACATTCTTTCTTTTTTTTAAATACTAAAGGTAAAGAACTTCACTCTTTCAACACCCAAACTATAGCAGAGAGACAGGAGTAAATTATAAATGTGGATGAAGCAACATCCACAGGACGTGAAGATGGGGGTGGGGAAAGGGGAGAAGGGATGAGCTTTTGCGTTGTTGCTGTTGGCAGGAGAGCTGAGCAGTCTTAAAGAACCTCCTCTGGGGAGCGGCAGTCTAGGATTCTAGGTTTGCCATGAAGGGGTATCACAAGTCCCAAGGCCCACCACCTACCCCTTCTCTTCTCCAAGGGCACCTACCTTACTGTAAGTCACTACTGATAAGTTGTTTGCGTGACTGCTGGGAGACAGATTTACAGAGTTCTGTGACAGTCTATTCTGGTCTTGCTCAGTTTGGTCAGGAGCAGGAGCCCATGTGTCAGGAGCAGGAGCCCAAGTGTTTTTGCTGATCGAGTCGAACTCGGAGCCCCCAGGGTCTTTTAAGTTGTTTTCATCTGATTGTCGGTTCTTTTGGGGAGAGGCAAAAGGGTTGAAGTTTCCTTCTACCTTACGATGCGGCTGTGTGTTGAACTCCGTTTCAAAAGATGACAGCTGCTGCGTTACTCCTAAAAGTCCACCCACCTCCACACTGAGAATCACCCAGATGACATCTGAAACAAAAAGGTAACTCATGTCAATGCTAGGCTTACCCTTATGGCCCAAGATAGCCACCACCAAAAACCCCAAACATTATCCAAACCATAGAATGAAACATTCTTCTATATGCTAGTTTTAAAAGCTTGCTAACAAAGCTGCCTGGTACATTTGCATTGCACGCATAGCTACATTTTTGGTAATGTCAAATTCAAATTCTAGTATAAATTCAGCAGAGGTCTGTGGTAAGACCCATGAAACTCTATTTATAAAAAGCTTACCAGTTGATGCCAATGCACCGTCATCTTTGGAAATCATTATTCCAGAGAACGATCAATAGATAGAAATCAAAAGTTACTCTTCCTAGAATTAATACCTCTTTGTGGGTTTTCACTTTATTTTACATGTATTTAACTCAGAAAATTCAGGACTGGCATAGTTCTGGAGTTTTAAAATGCTTACAATTACGAGAATTACGACTTTACCAACGCTCTTCCCTTTGGGAGCAATTTAGAATGACCACAGGTTGTCCGAACGAGGACAAATGAGAGTGAAAGAGGGACCTATTAATAATTACGCCAGGACCAGCACTTCTCTAGACAAAATGGAAGATACTATCACCCTGGCAATTTGACCAAAAACCACCAAGAATTTGGTGTATTTCTAAAATACCCAACTTAACACCTGCTTTGCTTTTCTATCATACAGTCATGCATTGCTTAATGAAGAAGGTATGTTCTGAGAAATGTATCATCAAGTAATTTCATCACTGTGTGAACATCATAGAGTGTACAAACCTAGATGGTAGAGCCTACTACACACCTAGGCTAGATGGTATAGCCTATTGCTCCTAGGCTACAAATCTCTACAGTATGTTACTATACCGTTACTGTACTGAATACTGTAGTCAGCTGTAGCACAATAGTAAGTATGTGTGTATCTAAACATATCTAAGGCTAGGTGCAATTTTTCATGCCTATAATCGCGGGCACTCTGGGAGGTCTAGGCAGAAGGATCACTTCAGACCAGAAGTTTGAGACTGGCCTGGGTGACCCTGGTAGAGACAGACCCTGTCTCTACCAAAATTTAAATATTAGCTGACTGTGGTGGTGCTCGCCTATAGTCCCAGCTACTTGGGGGACAGAGGTGGGAGGATTGCTTGAGCCCAGGAGGTACAGGCTGCAGTGATCTGTGATTGCACCAATGCACTCCAGCCCAGGCAACACAGCAAGACTCTGTCTTTAAAAAAAAAAAAAAAAAAAAATTACGGACGGGTGTGGCAGCTCACGCCTGTAATCTCAACACTTTGGGAGGTGGAAGCAGGCAGATCACTTGAGGTCAGGAGTTCGAGACCAGCCTGGCCAACACAGTGAAACTCTGTCTCTACTAAAAATTTAAAAATTAGCTGGGCGTGGTGGCAGGTGCCTATAATCCCAGCTACTCAGGAGGCTGAGGCAGGAGAACTGCTTGAGCCTGGGAGGTGGAGCCGAAATTGTGCCACTGCACTCTAGCCTAGGTGACAGAGCGAGACTCCATCTCAAAATAAGTAAACAAACAACAACAAAAAAAATCTAAACATAGAATAATAAAATATATGATATGAAAGATAAAAAATGATATACCTGTCTAGGGAATTTACTATGAATGGAGCTTTCAAGCCTGGAAGTTGATCTGGGTGAGTCAGCGAGTGAATGTGGACATTACTGAACACTAATGTAGACTTCATAAACACTGTGCGATTAGGCTACACCAAATTCATTAAAAAATAAACTACAATGTTATGGAAGCTACAGTGTCACTAGGTAATGGGAATTTTTCAGCTCCATTATAATTGTATGGGACTACCATCATTGACCAAAACATCATTATGCAGTCCATGACTATAGAGGGAAACCCTACCACCTATCCACAATTAAACCATACATGTATTTTTAAATAGATGCACCATAGGACATTTGGTCATAGTTCAGTTCTTGATTTGCTCAAGTGCCAAAGCTAAGGGTTCAAATAAAATAAGAAAGTAGCAGTTTCCTTTGATGTTCAGCACCTCACTCCAGAGAACAGAGACACACACATTCCTGCTGGAAGATTTTCAAAAAGCAAAACACAGAAAGGCCAAGAAGCTTTTAACTGTGTGAACCCTACTCAAAACAAATACAAAAAATTGTCTAGGCTCCTAAATAACTGTTGAAAGGTTGATAGAAAAATGCAAATACATTCCACCAGTTAGCTACCTAGAAATAGAGATAATATAATCCTAGAACAAACACTAAAAACAAGTAGTGAAGGAAACTAAGGAAAACTCTCTTAGGCTGTGTTTATTCTAAATTTTTAATTTGGGCTGTATATCAAAAGAAGGCAGCCTGGCTGGGCATGGTGGCTCATGCCTGTAATCCCAACACTTTGGGAGGCCGAGGTGGGTGGATCAGTTGAGGTCAGGAGTTCGAGACCAGCCTGGCCAACATGGCGAAACCTGTCTCTACTAAAAATACAAAAATTAGCTGGGTGTGGAGGGGCATGCCTGTAGTCCCGGCTACTCGGGAGGCTGAGATGGGAGAATCGCTTGAACCTGGGAGGCGGAGGTTGTAGTGAGCCAAGATCGTGCCCCTGCACTCCAGCCTGGATGACAGAGTGAGAGCTTGTCTCAAAAAAAAAAAAAAAAAAAGGGAATCTCAGGGTATCACACAACCATAAAAACTTAGAGGTTTGGGAGCTGTATTAAGAACTGGCTGTATCCAAACAGCTAAGAGTCAGGCCCTAGTAAGTGGAGATGCAGTGACATCTGCTGTTCACTCCTGGAATTAGCAACTTCTTTCTCCTCTGAGAAGAGGAAATTAAAGCCACCAGCAGCACTAGCATGACTCACAGGAATGTGCATTCATTCCAGATACACTTATCATTAAAGAAAATATAAATCTTCATGTAAACTAGCATCATAAAAGTTAAACCTCTTGACAACACTGCACATGTAGTGTGCCACCTCCCTTGAAAATCTGGGACAGTGCTAGGAACAGTGCGTCAGAGGACCTGTGTTCAAAGCTCAATCTCATAAATCAATCCAATGAAGTGGGTCAATCCAATAGCAGGCAGTCTGAGGACAAATCATTCCATGCTCTCCTATCCTAGCTTTCCAACAAAAGATAGCATTCCTTCACTCTACTATTTGCTTTTCCCAAACAGATATGCCCTGTCTTACAATATAGGCTGAGTATTCCTAATTCGAAAATCCAAAACTTTGTGACCACCAATCTGACACTCAAAAGAAAAGCTCATTGAATCATTTCAGATTTTGGATTTTTGGATTAGGGATGATGAACTGATATAACACAAATATTCAAAAATCAAAAAAAATCTAAAATCTGAAACAATTCTGGTCTCAAGCATTTCAGATAAGGGATACTCACTCAACCTGTAGTTTTACTCCTACTTCTCGTCTACCACCTATCTGTTTTAAAAATAAATTCTTTTGTAAGTACACGATACATTTGGCACACAGCTACTCAGCCACAGGTCATATGCTTCATTCTCTTAGCTCAGGAAACTAAATGCTTATGAGAAAGCTATTATCCATAAATAAGACTAATGACCTACCACCACCCCTTTTCCCTCTTTAGAACTAAAGCATCATTAGGCTGGGTGCAGTGGCTAGTACCTGTAAGTCCAGCACTCTGGGTGGTTGAGGCAGGAGGATCACTTGAGCCCAGGAGTTTGAGATCATTCTGGACAACATAGTGAGACTTCTTTCCCTCTCCCCCTCTCTTTTCTTTCTTTTCCCCTCCCTCCCTCCCTCCCTCCCTCCCTTCTCTCTCTTTCTTTTTCTTTCTTTCTGTCTCTGTCTCTCTCTTTTTGATGTCTTTTTTTTTTTTAATTAAATTTTTAGTAGAGATGAGGTCTTACTATGTTGCCCAGGTTGTTACTCCTGGGCTCAAGCGATCCTTCTGGTTCAGCCTCTCCAAGTAATGGGATTACAGGTATAAGCCACTGCACTGGCCAAAAATGTCTTTAGTATGACTCACCAGAACTTATCATACTTAAGCCACCTCCCCTCTCTTTGCATTGGCTATTGCTCAGCTCTGTACACAGATTCTACATAGTTGCTATAAAAGGAAAGTCATTTGAGAAGCCACTGATTTATAAATACCAACAATAAATATCAGTTCTGACCCTCCTAAGTTACTGCTGCAATGGGTCATCATGAACAGCAAAGTACACCTTCTACATGGTACAATCTCAGTCATCCTGTACCACTTTCCAGACCTTACATTCCAGAATGTGTTCACCCCCTGCCTACTGTATTATTTTTAGTCAAACAAATGACAAAATAAAGAAAAGGTAAAGATGGCCTAATAAGCTTGTTTCATAGACAATGACCATTCCCAATTCTTACCAGAATGCCTTGATTACTGAGATAAGAACTGGCTGCTAGCCAGATATTTTACCATCTGTTATAATAAAACCACAAGTGTAAGAGATCATCCAGTGAAACTGCTTCATTTTCTAGATTTTAAAAATGTGAAGTCTAGAGGTAAAAGTGATGGGCTCAAGGTCATAATTCAAGTTAAAGCAGACTGAGAACACCCAGCTTTTAGTATAGCTTTAAAAACTCACACCTAACAGGAATGTGGGAACCCAAGTACCCAGGGAGCTAAAGCTATGGTTAAATCAGTCCCATTTCCCAAGCCACACTATCTTTACCCACAGACATATGATCTTTGGCACCAACAGGAAGAATGGACCACAAAATGTCCCAAAGAAGTAGCCAAGGAGGTAGAATCATGTGCCATGAGAACACAATGAGGACTTAGAAAGCAAACGGAGACCCTGATTTTAAAGTGTCTGGCCTGAAGGAGATTTTCTTTTAAAGCACCTGAGGCCAGGCACAGCAGCTCACATCTGTAATCCCAGCACTTTGGGAAGCCAAGGTGAGCAGATCGCTTGAGCTCAGGAGTTTGAGACCAGCCTATGGCAACACCAGCCTAGGGAACATGGTTAAACACTGTTTCCACAAAAAATACAA